GAATGGCCCTTGACTGTTTTTTGATTTTGCGTTGCACGGTCTTTGCGCAAGAGAAGGCGGAAAGTTTTGTTGTTGTTTTTTGGATTTAAAAAAAAGAAGAGTGTGATATTTGCATAAGCTTAAAAGAAATAAAAATGTTTGTATTTGTTCTTTTTTTCCCAGCCTGCATCTTATGCTAGTTATTTTTATTGTTTGTTTTTTGGTTACTTGGTTTGTTTGAAGTATGCTGCATGGATGAACGCAATTTCTTATTTTTGAAAAAAAAAGATTGAGAGCAAATTTGCACATTTGGGGTCGTCTACTTCTTTGAACCCCAAAGATTTTTTAAACGTTTCTTGTCCAACGTGGCCTAAATACAGCCATTGTATATTTACTGTCACAAACAGTTCTTTTTAGTCGACAATTCAGTGTAGCGAGCACACTACACTATAGCAATTTTTAAGTTTTGAATGAGACAAAACAATTGATTTTAGCCTATTAGTATTTTTTAAAAATGTGTATATCGGTGATACGACATCGGGGTGGCGTCAGCATGGTTGTTGATAAATGATATCAGATGAATATGTTAATTTTGGCGTCTCCTTGTTGAAAAGAGGCGAATTCGATTTTGTTTTGATTATTCTTTGATTTGTTCGGGAATAGTGTGCATTGATGAATTTTGAATAAATTGTTTCTTATTGATTATTATAATTTGCGCGGGATTTGTTTGTGCGCGTGTGCGTGCGTGCGTGCAAGGTCTGTATAAGTATGTAGGCCTTGCACGTGCATACATGCGTGTTTGTGTGTGCGTGTGGATGTGTCTTTTTTACAGATCTCTCTTCGTCGCGTACATGAAAATATGGTATTTTTCTTGCATCCTTAAGGTCTGTTCCTCAGTCACGATCACGTATTTTCTCTTATTTTCGTACAGCCGTATTTCTCCCCATCTTGCAGTCCAAATCTCACTGCATGAACATGTCCGAATTTTAAGACGATATCCCCTTTGCATGTTGTGTGATCAGCTGATTTCTTGCTACATTGATTTTTTGTGTTGTGATGATTATTGCAAGAACAAGAGAAAGAAAAAAAAGAAGCTTACAATGACCTGCTTTTATCCCGGTTTTGTTTGGTTGCGGTGGCTGGCATGCTGTTGATATTGGCAAGAAGAGAATGCAATAGTTTTGAAAACAGTGTATATACAATGAAATATAATTTTTTCACGTGTGAAAAATAATAGCTTTACATCTGTTTTCTGTGATTATTCATCTTTGAAACAGCAACTGTAATACATTCGCAACAGTACGGTTATCATTTTTTTTTATTCTAAACAATCCTGCTTGTATTGACCACACCATTAAAGGAATATAAAAATCAAACGAAGTCACCCCTCCATCCCAAAGATAAATTTCCCATTTTCTCTGAACGCACTAACCTCCCTCGCGTTTTCTACAGGGTTGCTACGGTAGACTGAAGAATTGGGTAGAAGATCACGCCAACTTGCTCATGGGGATTGGCATCGGTGTGGCCGCCTTGGAGCTGCTGGGGATGCTGTTCGCCTTCTGCCTCTGCTGTTCCCTCGGCCAGAAGATCAAGTGACGCCAGCACCGCATCCACACCGGCCACGAAGAACAATATACAGTCAAACAGCTTGGCACGGACTAAACATATAGTGAAAGAAAAGTCTCGATATATATAGTTCTATATATATGCGTATGTGTGTATGTATGTATAGTCTGTACGGGGAAAAGAAACGTTTTTTTTCTTTCTTTTTTTTTGTTACTGGGGGGGAAGTGACGAATAAGTGAACTGGCTTATTGTTATGGTCGTATTCACACACTTTTTTATTATTTTTTCTTTGACAGAAAGGTAAGCTCCCTTTTAATCGGATTATTGTCATAGTTATCCGTGTAAAAGACGATGTATGTTATTTCTTATTCTATCTTTGGAATTCTTAAAGAATTCTTTTTAAGCGATTCAAGCACAAGGCTGAAAAGATATAAATAGTAGGCCTATAAAAAAATTGTTACGTATTTTGACAGACAATAATAATTACGAGAAAGACAACAAGCATCGATAATATATGAAAAAAGAAACAAAAGAAAAAAAAAACTTTGACGAAGTGATACACAGCTTCTCAAAGATGGTATCGAGCTCTCCACAAACTCTTCCTATTTGTAAACTAATTTCCCTCCTTTCTTTCTCTTCCTTTTGTGCGTCGAAGTGTCACTTGAATTTTAGCTCCAAAGCGAAGGATTCTTTCTCCATAGGCTTGCTGTATTACGTGTGTTGGTCTAACTCCTGCATTGCATTATCTTTGGGCTGTATAAATACTTGCTTACGATTTTTTTTTTTCAAGCTTTGGAAATATTCTCTCTTCTCTTGCTTCTCTCTCTCTCTCATCTCTCTCTCTCTCTCTCTCTCTCTCTCTCTCTCTCTCTCTCTCTCTCTCTCTCTCTCTCTCTCTCTCTCTCTCTCTCTCTCTCTCTCTCTCTCTCTCTCTTGTAAAGAATCTCTCAAGATTTGCTCTGTTCTTACCCTTTGGTTATTCTAATTCTTCCATGGTGTGTTCTTTCGCCTTTCGTTCGTCCAAGCTGTTTGTCTCTACATTGAGTCCTCATATCCCCCCACCCCCTCTTCCCTCCTCCCCAAACCCTGTCTCTCTCCCTCTCTTTCTCTCTCTATCTCTCTCCACATCCCACCCAATCCCCGCAACTCCCTCTGCTTTTCCCTCATTTTCTCCTTTCCCCAAGCCTTCCTCTGGCCTTCCTATGGTTTCTCATCACTTCCCCCTTCCCATTGCCTTTCCCACTCCCCACTACTTCCCTACTCCCCACTTTCCCCTTCCCCCACAACCTTCCCACTCCCCACAGCCTGTCTCTTCCCCCATGCCATCCCACCCCCACTGCCTTCCCCTCCCCTCCCCAACCCTCTCTCTCTGCTCCTCTTGGTGTATAGTATATTGTTCCTTCCCCGTTCACGTGAGTCGGGAGAGGACCGTGATGAATGAATTTTCTATGCTGATTCCGGCAGGTACAACCCAATCTGCTGTAGCTTAATCCGTAGGTGTATAAAGAGATGAAAGATCTTTTTAAAATGCTGTAGAAGACGTTAAGAAAAAAAGAGATGAAAAATCTTGAAAAAAACACTATATTCTGAATCCTTTGAACTAATGTTTTTTTTTCTTCATTCTTTCTCCAGCCCTCTTGCATAACCCATTGTGAATAGAGTCCCCTATTGTTTCCCCTAATTATGCGAGGATATTGTTTGTTATGTTTCTTGATTGCAGCAAAATTGACGTAACTCCAGAGGTTTTTTCACAAATTTATGCCAAACCGATTTTTAAAGATACTCGTATTCTGAAATGTTCTGTGAAAAATCCTGTGATGATTAGGGTATTTAATATAGCATGCAGTGCGTCTGTGCCTAATGGTGACATATATATATATATATATATATATATATATATATATATATATATATATATATATATATATATATATATGAATGTATATGTATATGTACATGTATGTATATCAAGCCACACTGACATTCATATAGTCCGGAAACCCTAAGATGTTGGCTGCATTTACGATACTCTTGACTGAACTCTCATAGCAAGCTACCTCTTGTAATATATTTGTCAAGTTCTTTTTCATCATCATCTGTTCTGTATGTTAATATCGAGTTTAACATATCCTCTGTGTGTTGACGACTGCGACCAGTTAGGCAGTCAAGAGTCTAGTATTTTAAAAGGTACAGAGATTAATTATAACGCTGTTGTTTCGTTGTATTTTTTTTTTTTTTTTGGAAAATGATGTTTTTTTTTGCCATTCCTCGCGAGGTGATGGTTTAAAAAAAAACGAAAACAGTTTAGGTTTTCAATATGCATGTTTCAGTAAAGGAGACTACTGTAATTTATATTCTAATTTGTTTACACTTTTAGGTTCGAATGTATTTTTTTTTTCTTGAGTAAAGATAATTTGTAATATTGGAATTTCTGATGTAAAGGTATAGTAGAATAAGATGAATTTGTTTATTTCAGTTGATATGATTTATATAGAAATAATAGGTTTTCTATATGTGATAAAATCCTGTAGTATAGCATGGAAAGGTCTTTAGTAGATTAACAGTAATTTATATATTATTAAATTTTATTAAAAGCCAGTTAATGAATACGTGTGATGTAAAACCTCACACAATAATTGAAATAAATCTTTAATGGTATTATATATTAGATGGAATTTCTTTATATCAAATTTGGTAATTGATGAAATTACCAAATAATGATAAACTATTTTTACTTTGTGTGGTTTAGGTTTACACCATTTCCTATAAAATGTGTAGAATGAAATTGATAACAATAAGCATACACAGTATATAAGCATTTACTATTTACAGTACAAAAGTGCTTTTGGCCAAACGTAAAAAAATAGAAACAAGTAATTGGTCTTTTTTTTGTAATTTTTGTCCCCCTGCCTGAAATTGAATAAATCTGTTAATCTTTGTAAATACTATTACATTGCATTGCCCTACAGTCTAAGAAAGAATTGTGATGTATTGCACTGTAATGCTCATTCTTCCATTCCTTGTACGTGAGGTAATGAAAACTACATTTTTTTTTGGAATAGACGAAAAAATATATAAATGAAGGCATGAAACTACATTTTCTTTGGAACAGACAAAAAGATATATAGATAAATGAAGGCGTGAAACTACATTTTTTTTTGGAGTCGACTAAAACACAAATGACGGGCGTGTGAGGATAAAACCCACAGACAACCACAAACACTCGGAAAAAATAGTTTGACGAGTGATTTCGTATTGTTAATATATTTTCTGAGTACCCGATGTAAACAACGCCACTGTGTAATTCCAAGATGCATGTGTTTTTCTCTTAATAATCACAAGATGTTTCCTTTCTCCGTGGGTACTTTTCCCCCCGTGGAGAAATCATCCGAGTCCAGGTATATGTGAAACTCGTTCAGACTCGAAGTTGTTCAAATGAGATTGTTCAACTCTCAAATTGTTCATTGATGTTTTGGTTTTAAACAATGTGGTCCGTGGCGATCAGGCATCCGGTTCTAAACTGGATTTCGATCATTTATGTTCTGGTTCTTGTCGACGTGGCGTCATTTTGGACCTTCATCACTGTATGAGTTATGAGAAGAGGTGAATGTGGTGGACAGTGATCTAACTGTTGAAGCTATTGTCATATTCTTTGATAACACTTGCTTTAAAGTTGGTTAAATGTACTAGTGTATTCAGATATCTTTGATAATAAAATACTGTTAATAAATGTGAATTTCTTTCATTGATATCCTTTTTATTTGTTTTAAAACCAGATTTCGACAGTTTATTGGGTTGTATATAAGGATTATCAGATGATTCAAGAACAATTAGTCATTTCTATATTTGCTGATTTTTTGGAATTTAGTATCTAACACTGCTAGAGAGGGGATAATTTCATTTATAACATTTTTTATCATGTTCTTACTAGCTGTAATCATAATTATGACGTAACATTATTTGAATAACATGAACTACTTGAATATACTGTGATTATTTACATAAACACACACACACAGATATGATCTATATATCTATATATTATATATATATCTATATATTATATATATATCTATATATTATATATCTATTATTATATATATATATATATGTGTGTGTGTGTGTGTGTGTGTGTATGTATTATGTACACACACACACACACACACACACACACACACACACACACACACACACACACACATATATATATATATATTATATATATATATATATATATATATATATATATATACATAATATGTATGTATGTATGTATATATATATATATATATATATATATATATATATATATATATATACGTATATATATACATATACATATATATACATACATATATATATATATATATATATATATATATATATATATATATATATATATATACATATTGATATACATATATATACATTTATGTTCACAGGGTTTAATATAACAGTACGAATTAAAAACATTAATTCAAAAACATCAAAGCATAGAAAATAAGACTTAAATCTTAACGTGTTGAAATGTTTCGCGCAAGGTACACACAACACCTGAAATTACGATAATAAATGCCTTATGTTTAAATTATTTATGGGCGCCAGTTATAACAAGCTGTTCTGTGCAAATTACCTATTAACCTCTACAAATTCTAGCCAATAAGAACCTCAGTAGATGACGTCATATTTTCTGACCAATCAAAACTCATTTTTTCGGAATTCTGTGCACCCGGCCACAAAAAAACGTTCAGTGTAGGTCTACCCACTGTGTGAGAAGGTAAACGTTTGAATTACTGATATATTGATATCCGGCTTAAAGTTTCTGAATTCGCAAAATATATTTATCACCAGAAATATTGCCACATCCAGGAAATATGACGGTGAAGTATAATAACGGAGGCCCGACAATAGAAGGTTAGTACGATTTAAATAGGCACTAACGAGAACCAGCAAATTACACAGATTTAATGGACGAAATATATGTAATAACATGCGAGTAACAATGTCATTATGTCTAATATTACAATAAACGCAGTATTGCTGAAAATTATGATTATTATTCTTTGTGTGTCTTTTCTGAACGGAACAATAGGACAGTAAATAATTTCGTGATAATCTGCAAGAATGAAAATTGGGTGCCATCATAGCTACGACTCAAAACTATTACCAACCTGGCATGAATAAAGAAAATAGAGACAATACTATGGATACTGTATCATCACCAATTAACTGCACTATTCCCAATTCTATTATCCTCTCATGATTGAGATGAACCAAATTACCGGTAAATAAAATAGTATATCCGTAAATTACAGTATTCAAAGAAAACAAGATCTTATTTGTGTTCATAGAAAACTTAAATCAATAGGGGGAACTTATTATTATTATAAGATGTAATTGCATACTGATAAAATCATAATTTGTCTGTGAAAAGAGAATGGTTATGTCTAGTAATAGCAGTATACAGTACACACACACACACACACACACACACACACACA